CTGGAGAGATATAAATTTTTCTTTTAACAGAAACAAAAGTTTTAAAATCCACTTATTTTTTCTAAGAAAAATCAGTGTTAAGAGAAGAAAAAACTGGCATGAATGTTAACAGCAAAGGCTCTGGAGTACACTGCTCTGCTCAGTATAAACTCTTGTCACCTGATGCAAGTGATAGCACCTGAATTCCTAGGTTTCTCATCTCCAAGATGTGTGCAATAATGCCCCTTCCTTCACAGGGCTGTTGGCAAGTTAATTTATGTAAAGTGTTTACTGTAGAACCTGACTCTTTAGTGAGCACTCAGTAAACTCTGAGCATCATTACCAAGTGCACAGGAAAAACAGCATGAAAGTAGCAGAAGCACTAATGTCAGGGAAGCCCAGACCAGACACCAGCTCCCTTGTCTAAGAGTGAGAAGAGGAGTGACCCTTTCTATCAGCTCCAGTTCTGGCTATCTCAGGCATCTACAGCCCTGCAGTCCCAGGACTCACCTATGTAGTATTTCATTTCTGTGTCATGCTGGTTCATCAGCTCCAGCAGCCGCAACTCAATCTGGGCCTGGTTCAGGAAGGCCTTTTTGTTCTTGATGATCTTGATGGCCACCAGCTCCTGGGTTTGATGGTCATAGGCTTTCACCACCTGTCCAGGCGGGCACATCACAAAGTGGGTGAGGGGTAAGGAAGTAAGGGAGAAAGGTACCATTTTTCTCCCTCCAGCAAAGACCTACCAATAACACTGTTAATACTGCTACTAATTCATAGCTGAGTGCTCCCTACCAGTCAGGCACTGGTGTAAATACTGAACACAAAACGATACAACTGTCTTACGTGGAGTCTTGTTATCTGGACTGTTTTATAGAAAAGGAAACTGAGGCATAAGGAAACTAAATGACTGGGCTGGGGTGAGTGGCCTAGTGCAGGACTTGAGGCCACTGAAACATGGTACATGGGCCCCTAATCACTGGATCAGGGTGAGGAGGGTGTCCCACACCTGGCCAAAGGAGCCTTTGCCAATGAGCGAGTCAATCTCATAGCGCTCCAGCCAGCGCTCGCCACTGCGCACAATATAGTCATGGTTGTCGTCATCATAACCATGGTTCAGGACCTTCTTCTCCTTCTTGGTGCTCGAGTCCTGGGGTGGCGCCTGCTGGGCCCGGCGCTTCTTCTTCGCATAGTATACCTATCCAGCCAGCCAGATGAGGACTGGTAAGTGGCCCAGGCCAGCAGCCAAGACCCCTTAGCATGCAGCTCAGGACCCCCACACCCTTCCCACCTCATTGATGTGCTTGTAGGTCTTGATGAGGTCCACAGAGAGCTTGCGCAATGGGGCCGAGGTTGCATCCCGGAAGGCCAAGGGCAGCCTCCGTGGCAGGAGCCGCACATCAGGCAATACCTGCAGGGCAGGGTGAAGTGTGGGCACTGACATAGGTCTTCACCTCCAACCTCAAGAGGGAGGACTATATGAGCTGTGGTTCCATCGTTATCACACACACATTTATTTGTTCACTATCTAACTCCCCCAATAGAATATAAACTCCCCAAGGGCAGAGACTTCGTCATGTTCTTGCTGTATCTCCAGTACCTTGAGCAGAGCCTGGCACATAATGGATGTTCATTAGAGATCTGTCATGTGAGCAAGTGAACTATTTATCCCTGACCTTTCACCCAGACCCACAGTCAGCTTTTTAACCCAACTTTACTCCTCGGTGAGAGATCATGTGAAAAACCTAGGCTCTGTCTCTCCCAATCCTTCAGCCTGGAACCGCCCATTCTGGGTATCCCACCCATGAAGTCTTCCATCTCCATTTACCCTCATTTGTTGGGGCCTTCCTAACCCTCACCCCCCAACTCTGAGCATCTTTGCCCAGTTCTTTCATCCAAGCACTATGGACCTCCCACTCTAATAAGCTTCAAGAGTTATGTTTCAGAGTCTTAACTGCTCTGTCCTTGCTTTCCTTTGTATCAACCAGACCCTGCTGGCCCCAAGATCCTTCAGGGTTAATTCTCTCCATTCACCCTCTCCAACTCTTTCACTGTAGAATCTTTTTCTTAGTGAATGTTTATCAGGTATTTACTCTGTGCTAGGTACTTACCTCAGCATTTTATGCACAAATCATTAATTCATTTAACCCTCACAATAGTTCTGTGAGGTAGGCATCATTATTGGCTCCATTTTACATTATGGAAAACTGAAGTATGGAGAACCTAAGTAATTCAACCACTATGTCAAGATTTGAACGCAGGCTCTCCAAACCTTGACTCTGCCTACAACTCCTCTATTATCGTCCACTCCCATGGGGCCCATCATGCCCCCAGGAGACCATGCTGAGCAACCTCATTATCTTATGGTCCTGAGACCCTTCTATTCTCAGCCTCTCCTTACTCTCACTCTCAGGTGAGAAGCCAGCTGAACGCGTACCTGTGTGTGCTCTTGGGGCCCTGGGAAGCCAGAGAAGGGACCATGGCCTGGTGGGATGGCCATGGTGGGCTCAGAGGGCCGCAGGGGAGTGAGGCCTGGAGCGGGAGCCCGGCCGGGGGGCGCCTTCTCGCATCCTGCACCTCGGCTGCCACCGCCGCTGAGACCTGAGAGCAGGTGGGAGGCAAGAAAACAACATGGAACAATGGGATACATGAAACAGTGCCAAGCAGGGAAGAGGTGGGCATGAGAAGAAGGCAAGGCACAAAGGGAGGGAAAAAGGGTGCAAAGGGCGGTGATGAGGAGAGGGGATTAGAGAGAAGTGGCAGATGAATGAGGGGTGTGGCACAGCAGAGTCCCTCAGCAAATGATGATTAAGTAAATGAATATGGTAGCAGAAAGAAAATGTGTGAAAGGGAATGACTGGGAGCCAGGTGGGGGTTCGGGAGATTGGTATAGGATAGAACAGTTAAGGAGAACAGAAAAGACAAATAATTGGGGAAAGAAAAAGAGAAAAAGAAACCACAGATGGCAAAGAGTAGGATTCATTCTTCTCATTTCTACGTATGGCCCTCCCCAGACCCCTTACACAGGATTCCACCCTTCTGCTGACTTCCCTGAACATCAGGATCTCAGCCCATACCACAGCAAGATCCCTCCACTTCAAGATCCACCCTTTCCAGTAGCTTTCCCCAATCCCAGTCCTCTGGGACTCCTTCCCTCCCCAACTGCAGAGTCTGCTGCAGGCCTAAAACCCTATCTTCGTCCTCAGGGATCTCTTGACCACACCAAGAGTATCTGAGGAATCCTCTATAACATAGTCCTATCTCTGTGTCATTCCCTCCCACCAGGTCACACCCTTCCCAGAGGACTCTCTCCGTTATCATGCCAAGACCTCTTCTCTATATCAGGTTCCTCCACATCCAGGTAGTCTTCCTATACCATCTTCCAACCCCTCCCAGTCAAGGCCCACTCCTCTGGGTGGCAGCAAGGGAGAAGTGTCTCTTCCCATAGTGTAAAAAGATCATCCTTTTCTCCCCCTATAATGCATCCTTGCCCTACTACACTCTCTCCCAATATTCCTATCAGAGCCCCTTCTCCAGTCACTGCTCCCTACACTAGGATCATTCTACAACTGTGCCCATTCCTAGAAGGTCCCCACAGCCAAATCTCCAAATATAACAGAGCTGTCTCTTCCCAGAGTGTCTCTCACAACAAAATCCCCTCCCCACAGGCCTCCTCCCATGCCAGATCTCCTGCTGTCCTATGCCTTGCCACTCCAGGACGTCTCCACTCTTGGAGCTTTCCCCCAAATCAACCTTTCCTGGGACCTCCCACACCAGGGCGTCTTTCCCAGCTCCCACCCCCTACCCGGGTCAGGGCTGGTGCGAGCCCCACGGGGGGCTGGAGCGCGGTGGGGCCCCCAGTGGGGTGGGCGAGCAGCCAGCATGGCGGCGGTGGCAGTGCTGAGGAGCGGCCGCCTGTCCCCTGCCCGGCCGGCCCGGCAAGCCCCGCGGCGGGGAGGGCAAGAGGGACAGGCGGCCGGTGGGTGACAACAGCAGCCGCCGGAGGCGGGGAGAGGAGGGGACGAGGGAAGGCGGGGACGAGGGTCAGCCCAGGCCACGCGGGGGAAGGGGAGAGCAGGTGGACGGGGGAGGGGCGGGTTAACCCTCGCCCCACCGGCCCCGCCCGGCGCGGCCACCGCCCCTGGGGACCCCTGCGTCCCGCCCCCCACCCAGGAGGCCCGCCGGGCAGGCGGGGCCCGACTGAGTTTGGCAATCCACACCTGCCATGGCAACAACCGTGCCATTGGGCGCTGCTGTCAAGAACTCAACCAATCACAGACTAGAGTAGCTGTTGCTAAGCGACGACGAAGCGGCCCGCGGAGCCGAGCCCAAACAAAGGGCGGGAGTGAAGCCCATCTACCCCTCCCAGCCTCCCTCCAAAGACCTCTCCCTCGGACTCGGCCCCTTCCAGGAATCTGACTACTAATAGCTAGGAACTGCCCGCAACTGCCCACCGACCCCCTCCTCTTTTGCTTGGACCTGTGCTACGTCTCGCGGCGACAGGGGCAGGGCGGATCCCATCCTGTCCCCACCGCCCTCTGTGCCGCCCCGCCTGTCACCACGTCGTTACCTGAGGGCGCGGGCAAGGGGACTCAAACTGCTCGGGGAGCCCGAGCTCAGACCTGCCAACGGGCTGAGAGTATCTAGCAGACGCGGCGAGCCAGGGCCTGGATTACCCAGTAATGCAACCAGCAAAATGGCGACCACAACAAACCGGCCCCCTCGGCTCCGCCCCCTGCCCCTCCACCCGCCCCGCCCACTCCCCTCACGTGGCCCAGGGTAACATAGTGCGCCTGTGCAGAGGCCGCTCCCCGGCACACATGCGCAGTGAGCGACCAAACCCGCCCAAGAGGCGGAATCAGGGTTACCGGTGCGCAAGAGGCAGCTAGGTTTGGAGCATGCGCTGTATGATCAGATAGCAACGTCCATTCCCCACCACCCACCACTTGGCAACGTAGAACAAGAGCGCGTGCGCCCTGCGGTCCACAGCGGTCACAGAGCAATCAGCAGCACACAGGGGAGACTGACGAGTCTTTTAATAGAAAAACACACGTGCAACAGTATCAACAACACATCTCTGGGAATCCAAACAGCACTGAACTTCAGTTCTTCACCTTGGGGGGTGGCCTGTGAGAGGAAGAAAGGAGTGAGGGGCGGGTCCCAGGATCAGGGCACTCTGGGGGCAAGGGTCAGAGCTCTCTCCCGATTACTGGCTCCCCTACTCACCTGTACACACCCACGACCACAGCATGATCTCTTTCGTATGGCTCTAGGGTCAATTGCTCCTGGGGCTTCATGTTCTCCTGCTGCATTTTTTTCACTTCTGAGGCAAATACCGCCTCTGCTGAGGCCGTGGAGTCTATGCAGTTGGCCTACAGAGGAAAAAGGGTTTGAAGTCTGCACTTCGGCGTTGGTCCGTTTTCCCTATTATTATTATTTTTTTTCTCTTTAAAGCAGATGTACGTTTTCATCGGAAACTCAAGTGAAATTTGGTGCCTGTTTCAAATGCATTCCTCATAGTTAATGTGTTGGAAATTTAATTCCCAGTCCAACAATGTTGACAAATGGGACCTTTAAGGGGTTTAAGTCATAGATTAATACCATTATCACGAGAGTGAGAGCCTCATAAAAAGAATGATGTCCTCTTTTCTCTCCTGCTCTCATCCTTTCCTGAACATGTTCTCTTGCTCTTACCCCCTTCTGCCACAGGATGATGTAGCAAAAAGGCCTTCAGAAGTGGACTCTTTTTTTTTTATTTGAGACAGAACATCAAGCTATCCCCCTGGGTAGAGTGCTGTGGCATCACAGCTCACAGCAACCTCCAACTCCTGGGCTCAAGCCAGTCTCCTGTCTCAGCCTCCCAAGTAGCTGGGACCACAAATGACCGCTACAACACCCGGCTATTTTTTGGTTACAGCCGTCATTGTTGTTTTGGCGGGCCTGGGCTGGATTCTTACCCACCACCTTAGGTGGATGTGGCTGGCGCCTTAGCCACTTGAGCCACAGGTGCTGAGCCAGAAATGGACTCTTGATCCCAGACTTCCCAGCCTCCAGAACCATGAGCCAAATTTATTATAAATTATTCAGTCTGTGCTATTCATCTTTAACAGCATAAAACAGACTAAGACACTCAAATTTTGGAAATGTGGGGTTAAAGCCTTCATTAAACAAGTTTTAAGTTTGGTTTGGATTTAACGTAGGAAGCTTTACACACAGCCCTATTTTTCTAAAAACTAGTGTTCAAATATTATATCCTGAAATTTTTTTTTCTCTACTTCTTTAATAATAGCAATACAGCTGGGAATAATAAAATGAATGTAGGAAAAGGCTAACATACAATCAATCTGGTGAAGGATACACACAGATTCTTTGTATGTCAAAATAAAATGTTTTGAAAGATGCACCTATTATTTATCCAATATCTGTTTTAAGCCAGGATCTGTTCTGCACACAGCATATACTGATTAATTCAATCCTTACATCAACCCTAAGAGAATGGACTGAGATTTGGTGTTTTTTTTGGTAGAGACAGAGTTTCGCTTTATGGCCCATGGGAGAGTGCCGTGGCGTCACACAGCTCACAGCAACCTCCAACTCCTGGGCTTAGGCTCCTGCGTCTCTTGCCTCAGCCTCCCCAGTAGCTGGGACTACAGGCGCCCACCACAAACACCTACCTATTTTTTTGTTGCAGTTTGGCTGGTGTCAGGTTTGAACCTCCCACTCTCCGTATATGGGGCCAGTGCCCTGCTCACTGGAGCCACAGGTGCCGCCCCTGAGATTTGTATTTTGTAAGTGAAGAAACCGCAGCACAAGGGTTAACTAACTTTGCCAATGTCACAGAGCAAGATGGAATTCAAACTCAAGATGGTCAGAGTTGGCTCGGTGTCTGTGGCTCAAATGGCTAAGGCACCAACCACATACACCTAAGCTGGTGGGTTCGAATCCAGCCTGGGCCCACCAAACAACAATGATGGCTGCGCCCAAAAAAAAAAAAAAATAGCCAGGCATTGTGGCAGGCGCCTGTGGTCCCAGCTACTTGGGAGGCAGAGGCAGGAGACTCGCTTGAACCCAGGAGAGTTGGAGGTTGCTGTGAGCTGTGATGCCATGGCACTCTACCCAGGGGGACAGCTTGAGGCTCAGTCTCAAAAAAAAAAAGGATGGTCAGAGTCAGTAATCATGCACTTAACCACTATACTCTCTTACTTCTTTAAGTACAAAGCTTTCAATCTGCAGACATGTTTTACCATGTGCTATTTGTCTGAGGGATGGGGGGCAGCTTGTAGGGGTGGGTTAAAGGCTGGGAGTAGACTGAGAGACTAGTGGGTACAAGGCCCCTTTACTTGGCTGCCCAACTGACATGGATAAAGATGGCTCCCTGGGACATTGCAACTCCCTTAGACACCTACAAGTTCTGTACCTTAATGGAAATCACAAAGTGTCCTCCATTACGTAAGAAGGTATGGGCATTCAGGGCCACAATCCGCGTCTGGTCTGGCTGGGCCACATCCGCAAAGATCACATCCACCATTGCTAAGAAGAAAGGGGCAGCAGTTAAAAGTCAAATCTGCCAGACATCACCCCAGATCTTCTCCTAGGGCTTATACCCCATCAGCAGTTTCCTCCTGGGACAGTCTCCCTGCCTCTAGTATCACTCCCTCCCACTGATCCACCTCCCTTCAAGTGCCCCCAAGATGGGTCCAAAACCCACAGTCACATCATTCATTCACTCCTCTTATAAACCATGGTTGCCACCTACTCTGTGGCCAGCCCTAGGCTGGGCGGGGGGACATAGAGACGAGTCAGACCCGGACCCTGCCCTCGAGATGCTCCCAGGTCTGGGGAGGAGACAGACACGTCATCAAATAGACAAGTGAGCACTTATAGGCAAGAGCATCTGCAGGACTGTTAAATGAAAGCAAGTTGCAGGACAAGGGGGATGGTATGAATGAATGGGAAAAAAATCACAAACAGAAAACGAATAAAATGAAAGTATTTTTTAATGTAGTAAGATTCAAAAAAAAAATAAAGTGATGTAATAAAAACTGATTCTTTAGAAATTGGGAAAAGAAGGCATCAAATTGTTCTTATCAATTACCTCTGGGAGTGATTTATAAGGTTTTCCATTTTTGGTATTTTTGAATTTAAAAAATAAAAGTAATTTCACAATGGGCCCCTCTGGGCCAGGCCATGTGCAGTTTTGTTTCTGGGCTATGATCTCACCAGATGATCAGGTAAGGACTCTTGAAGGAGGCTTTTATATACAAGTGTGTGGGGGGGAGGGCAGTGTGTTAAGTACCATATTTTGGACGGAGGCAGTAAGTACAAGGCACCTAATGAGAGGGGGAATAGAATGGAGGAGAGGAGGCTGGCCCTCTAAGGGAGCCAACATCTGAGACCTTAAAGCTGAGATGCCACCTCCATAAGCTCACCTGGCTCCCCTCACCCCCTTTCCATTTCTATAGACACAAGAGACCTCCTCATCCACTTCAATTCCATCCAAATCAGGGCTCTACTAGCCTCTTCCAAGGAAACCCAGAGTGGGCTGTCCTACCCCAGCTGGGCCACCTCCCAGACCCCTCACCGATAAGCATTCGGTATTTGTGTGGGTGCCGAGCATCCTCAATCACAGGAATAATATTGGTCCTCTTCTTAGCCAAGTTAATGAGGTCACGGCCAGAGCGGTGGGAGAATTCAACTGCGTAGACTAGACCATCCTAAAATAAATCAAATAATGCTGAACAATGATTCCATTTTTCACATATGGCATACCTATTTTGGGTCCCATACACAACACACAGGATCTCTTTGATCCCCAAAGCCCTACCACGTAATGAATATTGTTATGTCCATTTCACACATGAAATAACTGAGGCCCAGAGACATGAAGTCACTGACCATGGGTTATTCAGCAAGTAGCAAAACTACCCAATCTAAGTTGCCTGAACCAAGAGTCCAGGCTCCCAAAAGAAGTTTAAAACCAGGAAGCCAAGGCACAGAGATGAAGCAACAAAGGCTGAATGTATTTGACAGGCCAGGCAGTGCCTTAAGCTCCTTAAGGAATTAATTTAATCTTCTCAATTACCCTGCTTTCCAGAGGAGTCAACTTAGACTCAGAGAGGTTGGGTAACTTGCAAAAAGCCACAATATTAAATGCCTAATGAAAGCCTGGGGTTTTAAAGCACTAAACAACCTAGAATCACATAAAGAAACAAGGGGTAATGAAGTGACATGCCTGGGCACCCATTAAATGGGAAATAGGTATAGTCATACAGAATGCAGGCCTGGAAACCACGAGAATTCCTGGTTCTTTCAAGAGAAGCCAGAAAACCAGATTTGGGGACTTGATTTTTTGTTGTTGTTGTTTTGTTCTTTTGAGATAAATCTGTGACTCCATGGTGTCACAGCTCACAGCAAACTCAAACTCTTAGGCATGAGCAATCCTCCCGCCTCAGCTTCCCAAGTAGCTGGAACTACAGGTGTGTACCACTACACTCTAGTAGTTTTTCAATTTTTAGTAGAGACAGGGTATTTCTCTCCTGCTCAAGCTGGTCTCGAACTCCTGAGCTCAAGCAATCCACTCACCTCGGCCTCCCAGAATGGAAGCCAGGGATTATAGGTGTGAGCCACCTCACCCAGCTGGGACTTGAATTTTTAAAGTGGGCAATCAAATCAGTGTGGTACCGAAACTCCCAGCTGAATCTCTTCTAATGTTGGTCAGCCATACCCATATCCACACCTCTTCCCTTTTTGTTTTTTTTTTTTTTTGAGACAGAGACTCACTTTATTGCCCTGGGTAGAGTGCCGTAGCTCACAGCAACCTCAAACTCTTGGGTTTGAGCGATTCTCTAACCTCAGCCTCCCAAGTAGCTGGGACTACAGGTGCCCACCACAATGTCTGGCTAGTTTTTCTATTTTTAGTAGAGATGAGGTTTTGCTCTTGCTCAGGCTGGTCTTGAACTTCTGAGCTCAAGCTCCACCTGCCTCAGTCTCCCAGAGTGCACACCTTTTCTCTTGAGGCCAAGATCCTAGCAGCAAGGCTACAAGAGACTATCTAGTTCAAACTGCCCTTTTTACTTATAGGCACTGTGAAGGTGAAGGGCCTGGCCCTAAGTCACACAGTGCAGTGGCAGAGGAGAGAAGTGGTCTGTCCTATCTACCTATATCCCCCCTGCCTGTACTCACCCTCCTCACCCATCCACTCACCGGGCCTACAATGTCAGAGACATGAGAGACGGTGGTGCCTGAGGCAGCCCCAAGGTAGAGCACCTTGGCCCCTGGCTTGATGTGGATCTGGTCTATACCACCCAGAATTGCTGCTGCCAGCTTGGAGCGGAAGGGGTTCCAGGCTCGGTACTCAATTTTGTCATCTCCTTCCTGGACAAGGAGAGATGGGGATGGAAGTCAGTACTAGGCTTTTTTTTTTTTTTAGAGACACAGTCTCACTTTATCACCCTTTGTAGAGTGCTGTGGCGTCACAGTGCATAGCAACCTCCAGCTCTTGGGCTTAGTTGATTCTTTTGCCTCAGCCTCATGAGTAGCTGGGACTACAGTTGCCCACGACAACGCCCAGCTATTTTTTGTTGCAGTTTGGCCAGGGCCGGGTTCGAACCCGTCACCCTTGATATATGGGGCCGGCACCCTTCACTGAGCCATAGGCACCGCCCTAGTGCTAGGCTCTTCTGCAGGACCTCATCACCCTTAACCCTGGGGTCCTTGAAAGGAACTGGGCAGTTCTATGAAGAACTGAATGTGGGTATACAGCAGTGACCATGAAAGATGCAGTCCCTGTCCTCTCATGGAGGCTACTGACTATGGGAGAAGGGTAAGTAATAGAGAATAAACACAAAGAATAAGAGTAAGACCTAGGTACTCATTCAATAAATATCCACTGTGCTGGCACCTGCTCTGTGCCTGTCCCTGCTCTAGGCACTGGGGATACAGAATTCTGGTGCTAACAGGTTCAATACTGGGGATACAAGACAAAGATCTCTGCTCTTAAGGCCGAAATATTCACTGAACTAATTAAATATAAAATGATCTACTAGGCAGTGACAGGTGCTAAGAACAGATCAAGCCAGGAAGGAAGATAGGGAGTATGAAGAGCTGGGCAAGTAACAGATGAAAGAGAGAAAGAGGGCCAGGGAAGAGCTGACTTGAAGGAGGAGAGGGGCCATCCAAGTTACCTGGGGAAGAGCATTCCAGGCAGAGGGAGAGCAGACAGGAAAGGCCGGCAGTCCTGTGCCTGGCCGTAAAGAAAGTGACATGGGATGACAGGATGAGGGATGGGCAGTGAGGGCTGCTTTTGACAGTGTTGTGATGTGAGGTGGCCTTGTCAGAATGACAAGGTGACACCTGACCAGAGATACACAATGAGAAGGAACAAGCCTCAGACAGAGCTGGGAGAAGAAACAGCAAGGTAGATGAGAAAGGGTGTGGCTGCAGAGCACTTTGTTGAGGGACGGTAGGAAGAGATGGCGCCAGGGGATGGGGAGGGAAACTAGAATGTGCAGAGACTTTGAATCCACCCACTGTGAAGACTCAGGACTTTAACCTAAGGGCAATGTGGAGCCACAGAGGTATTGGGGGGAGGAGGGTGAATGGCCTGTCTTATGTATTAAGATGATCCCCTGGCTGTCATGTGTAGGACACATAGTGGTGGAGGGAGACCAGGCTGTTGGTTTCACTATCAACTGGAATCCTGGTAGCTTGGTCAGGAGCCCAGGTCTCACCGAAATCGAGACTCTCTTCTCTCCATAAACTGATTCTCCAGGGACCAGATTCTTGGTGACTAGTGCATCTTCCTTTCCTCGACAAATGAAGACACCTAGGCGAGGGGACCGAAGCAGGGGTGAGGACTCCGGGCCCCGCTCCACCCCTAATCTTAGCTGGTTCCCTGTCTTCCTCACTCACCCTCGTGCCGATGAGGTTCCACCATCACATTCTTCCCCGACTGGTTCCCTCTCTTTCCTCCTCCCCGACCACGACCCCGGTTGCCACCAGACTGGAAACCTCCACCTATAAGTGAGAGATGCTATAAGAGACGGCGACCCCAGATCTCTTCCCTCCTCACGCCCCACCCGACAAAGGCGTCTTCCATCATCCCTCCTCAAGTTCACTTACCTCTTCCTCCTCCTCCTCCACCTCCTCCTCCTCGTCCACGGCCTCTAAAGCCTCCACCTCGACCTCGACCCCCACCGAAACCACCTCGGCCTCCACCTCGACCGCCACGATCACCAAAGCCCCCTCGGCCGCCGAAGCCACCCCCACGGGGACTGAAACCTACAGTGGAAACAAAAACAGGCAACAGGGGATGAAGCGTAAAAGGTTAAATAATTCCACTCAGGCGAGATACCATGTCTAAGAACACCCAAATAGGACTAACCCAAACATCCATCAGAGGATGGATAAATAACCTCCCACCCCAGGAAAAGAGGCAAGGGAACAATAAACGCAAAACTCATGATCCTGACTCCTGGGAAGGAGATATTATTGAGCTAGGACATGGAAGGAGTACATAGGTAGACACAGGTTAGTGCTAACATTCTGGCTTTCTTTGTTGGATAGTAAATTCGCAGGAATTCATTCTGTAGTCAGCATTATGTGCAAGTACTGTGAACAGGGTTCCCTAGACCCTGGAAATGTCTTCATGGCCTCCCACCACTCCTGGCCTTTTATCTGGCAGAAAGGCATCAACTCTAGCCCCAAACAAGGGGAAGTTCAGCATGATGTTCTTCCCTGCTAACTTGTCTCTCTGCTTCCAAGCTTGAACAAGTCCTTCCCAGCTGAAGGAAAAAAAGTTTAGGAGTTGACAATAAAGTAAAAATATTTAAGAAAAAAACAGTTTCAGATAGACTTTATTGTCATCACTTCAGGACAGCAAACATTCTTCACTGCACACAAAACAATGTTTAAAACAGACAGAATTCTGGTGCTGAAAGGTTCAATACTGAGCTTTTCTGTGATGGTTTCAAAAGCTTTGAAGTACTATTCTGAAAAATCATAAATTAAAAACAATAGTTTCAGGTGGCACCTGTGGCTCAGGGGGTAGGGCATTGGCCCCATATACTGAGGGTGGCGGGTTCGAACCCTGCCTGGGCCAGCTAAAACAGAGATGAGAACTGCAACAAAAAACAGTTGGGCACTGTGGTGGGTGCCTGTAGTCCCCACAGAAAATAGGTTAAGAAGGCAAGAAAATAGGATAAGCTGAGGCAAGAAAATAGGTTAAGCCCAAGATGTGAAGGTTGCTGTGAGCTATGACGCCATGCCATTCTACCCAGGGTAACAAAGTGAGACTGTCTCAAAAAAAAAAAAACTTGCTAAAATTTTTGTAAAGGTACATTCTGTCCACACTCTATGAAAGCTTCATGCATCTTAATAGTATTAAAGATGAAAATGTTTAACTTTTTTTTTTGAGATGGGGGTCTTGTTCTGTCACCCTGTCTCCTGGGCTCAAGTGATCCTTCTGCCTCAGCCTCTCGAGCAGCTGGGACTACAGACATGTACCACCATGCCTAGCTAATATTTTTATTTATAGAGACAGGGTCTCACTATGTTGCCCAGGCTGGTCTCAAACTCCCAGCCTCAAGTGAACCTCCCACCTCAGCTTTCCAAAGTACTGGGATTATAGGCACGAGCTACTGTACCCAGCTGGAAAAAAAAAAACTTTTTATAGATATTCCCAATGTAATCTATTTTTTTTGTTTTTCAGTTTTTGGCTGGGGCCGGGATGAACCCACCACCTCTGGTATATGGGGCCAGCGCCCTACCCCTTTGAGCCACAGGCACCCACCTCCCCAATTTAATCTTTAAAAATTTAAAATTAAGTCTAATTTTCAAAACTCCCAAACCTCACCAAAAGTTGTTTATCTTTTATTCCCTCTACAGTTTACTTTACACAGAGCAGCTAATGATTTTTTTTTTTTTTTTTGAGACAGAGTCTCACTATGTTGCTCTTAGTAGAGTGCTGTGGCATCACAGCTTATAGCAACCTCAAACTTAATCACTTGGGCTTAAGTGATTCTCTTGCAT